TTTGATGGTCRCCAGTGGATCTTTGATTTCTTCATTACAAAGCTGAGGTGGAAGAACATCCACTCCTCCAAATGCCATCCAAAGTGGAGTAGGGCAGATTATCCTCAACTGTTCTAATGTTACCTCCTAGACTTGACTGAAGATAGCTTCTCTACTTGATATCATACCTTAAAACAGAAAAGCCTACCTAGCGCAAATAAGTACATTCCTGAATATCCTAAGAATGCATTTAATCAAAACTACGTAGCGTCAGCTTTCCTTTAACAGCAGCCGCTACTAAGCGGCTCCTTCCTTAACTGTTACGATCAGATACTGAACTTGCAACATCCTCAGAAGAGAGGCACATAACTGTTTAATGTACTCTCAYTACACAGCTATAGCTATCCAAGCAGCATTAGTCCTTATTTCCTAATTCCTAAAATTAYATCAACACATCTAACACATTCACCAATATGACTGACACTTAGGCCATCAAACAATTGAAAACTACAAAGAACAGCCACCTCACACAGGCAGAATACATCTATGCTAAAAAAGAAAAGAATAGCATTTGATTCTCTGTAAGGCAGARACAGGCTTCTGCAATATATCTATGCTGGTGCTCTGGATTCTGGCCTGAAGCAAAYGCCTCTGGGGAGGACATATACCTGCCAACGCTCTAGAGGAAAACTCTCAATTTCACTGCTTCTTCCCAATATTGACAACCATGGGCACCAGTTTTACTTTACCCTTCATATATCTGAAATTAACACTGATCACTGACATATTGATTACAAACTGACATTCATACTATATTACTAACAACTGACAGACTACACATTAAAAAATCATTAACGACAACACAGCATGAAATTCAGAGATATGAAATATGTATTAGACTGGTATCTTTTTTTCTTTTTGTGTGTTGGCTTTTAAGTGTGTACACATAAGAGCGCAATGAACAAAAGGAAAACAATTACTCACACCGAGAACCAAAAACTATGACAGAAGCCAATCCAAAGAGCCAAGATTACAAGGCTGTCCATTAAAATTCTACTGTCATTTAAAAAAAAAAAAAATCCTTCAAAAGTACATAAGCACTTGATCAGCATAAAAGGATCAAAATAATCACTGTACCAAGCTAACAGCAACATATCCTTCCAAGAAACATTGCCTTTACTTCTTTGTGTGACTACTATAGGTCACTTCGGCAGTTTTTATATAGGATTACTGTGCTTTAGAACAGTATTTCTAGAAGGCAGTAATGTAACACTGAATATTTTGAGGAGGTCAAGTAATATGATACATAGCTTGTCCCTCCAGGTCAGTGGGGTTCAAGTCTTGCTAATGTCAGTAGTAACCAAAAGGTGTTGACATCAGACAGCTGTTCTGTGACCTCGGAGGAATGGGCTTGTATTCTCAGTCCAGTTTTTCCTGGACAGGTATCCCTACCTTCAAGTACAACCAAATCTTCACTGAGRCTGTCAAGGCTCAGGAGTAAGGAGCAACTTTCTCCATCTTCAAGGAGAACTGGACCTTTTAAGTGGAATAAAATTAAGGTACTTGTCCGGGTCAAGGCTACATTACAACACTGACAACAGAGCAAGGAATTTAATTCTATCAACTCAGCATTTTCTGCAGCACTGTCTTATTTTCAGACAACAAAACTGTTCAAATCATTGTTCCTCTACAGAACAAATAGCATTCACAGACTAAAGGTGGATCATCTAATTTGCATCTTAACACGTGTACTACCTTAAGGAACAAAAGAAAATCAGAAATATCTCACTGCTGCTGGAACTACATCCTTTGGTTTCACACACAGGACCCTCTTTCCCTTTAACTCCAGAAAATACTGTAYTGTTACCTTTATTGGGAGTTTACTAGTTCTAAAGAAGCTACACTACACAGACTTGAATTTCTTCTTTATGTTGCTCACTGCACAATTKCAGAGCTGTTTGCATTTAAATTTCACTCCATAAGTTACCAAATATAAATGTGCAAGAGTTACATAAGGCCAAGATCTCTAAGAATTAAGGGATCCTGAGACATTTTCCCCTTCTTACCTGAAAATTATGTTTTACTTCCGATTGAAATTAGTTCAAGCATAACTCAAGAAGGTTCAATACGCAGTAGAAAACAAATTCTCATCTGGAGAAACATCTCACTCAATGGTATATTTGATTCTTTCAAACAAAAAAAAGAGGGGGGGAAGCCCACCATCACCCACCTAAAAGGATGCTTAGACTCATAAGCACTGTGCATAAAACTGCTAGGGCTGTGACCTCCCCAAACTTACTCCATTAATAGCTGCATAACTGTGCTTAGCCAGGATTTTCAGAATCAGCCCATGGCTCTAGTTAGGAGACATCTCTTGTCCTGTACCACCAAAGTGACAGGGCTTGGGTTTTGAGGATTTTTTTTCTGTTTAGACTAATACATATGATATTTTAACTTTAAAAAAAAAGTTTTTTTCACAGATTAAAACTCAACCAGCTCACCCTTTTGTTTTCCTCCCTAAAGTATCAATATACATCCATGTCTGCTTGCTTACAAACTATTGATATTTTAATAATTATGTAGCATTTTTAACATTGCTAGCTTGTGTCAGTTGCTCATCTCAAGAAGACAGTAATATTGCCCTATAGAAAAGAAACAACAGTTCTGGSTACTGAATGCACTCAGAACACAACCTCTTCTATTATTATTACTAGTTCTTTTCTTGCTGAATATCCTACAATAGAAAAAGCAAATACAGAAAGGTAGTGGGACTACAACGTAGTAAAGAATAGTCCTATGAAGAAACAGTTTACCTCGTATTACTCCCTACAGGTGCTGTTCTGAAGACTTTAACAGGATTTCAATATTTAAGGAAGAACTGGTTTAAAAAAACTTCATGTTTTCTGGGAAGTACTTATACATAGAGACAACAGTTGCCAGGTGAGCTGAATAAGCACACACTTAAGTATCATATAGGTTGTAATTTGATCTTTCCTTCAATTTAACTCAAGAAAACTGATTTCTATTRTAGTTACACTGTAAGATCTAACAATACATACTGTTAACATTTCTAAGAAATTATGTTTTAAGATTTATACATCAGCACACAAGCAATTACTCAAAACACACAAGATAAATTGAAAACACTAAAGGTTTTGTAACTAGAGCTAGATATTAGGTCAAATACTGCAGCAGTTCTTACTCAGGCAGAATATCCTCATGAGGCAAAGGAAGTTTTGCCACAGCAAAGAAGGGCCATTTGATCATTTTCACAACAAGGCCAGTTTAAAAAAAAAAAAAAAAAAGTCACCCAAGCACACTATTCAAGAAAAATCTTTTCAACCTGATAGTCATTTTATACACCTGCAGGAGAGAAGCTTCATCCAAAATCAGCTGTTGAGGCTTCTGCAGCCTACTCTTAGAGAGATATAATAGGATGACTACTTAAATGAGCRATAAATATCCCAGATATTAGGAATATTTTCTATTAGGAATGTTTTCTATAACTTTAAAAAAAATTGACTTCTATCTTCATTCTTACAACATCTGAAAACCTGTATTTTTTTTCTTTCCAAAGGAAAATGCAAAGAGGGAAGGCATACTAAGACAAATGTAAATATAAGCACACAAATATAACCAATAAGCTTTTCTGAGTAATCTTTACATTGAGTGCCTAGCTTTGGCATATGCTCATGTAGATACAAAAAGCATACATATTCCAAGGTCATTTTTGTTTTGTAGATTCTGGAAAGACACATGATGAACCTGGGATTTGCATCTTCCATCATAAAAAAATCTATATTTGAATACTGGTTACAAGCTAACCTGATGAAATAGCTTGGTACACTCAGATACAAGTTATAKAGAGAGAGCAGAAAGAGGAAAAAGAAGCAGTCCACTAAATATACCTATCTCCTATTCACTGAGAAACACTCAAGTACAATTTCAATCAGACGTTACCCAAATAATAAAGACCTCGTTTTTTACCTCGGGGCACAACGTGTCGTTAATCTAAACTAAAACCTGTTCACTGGGCTGGAACCCACGGCCTGGGCGTACCTGGCAAAGCGGGGAGGCGATAGGGGTTCGCGGCCGGGCCGCGCACGCCCGCGCCCAGGGCAGGTACAGCGCGCGCCTGCCGGGTAACTTCACAGCGACCGGGACACAGGGCAAGGAGGCGGCGGCGAGGGCGGAGGAAGCGGCGCTCGCCGCCCGGCCCGACGCTGCTTGCGCAGCTCAGGCGGGCCCAGCTGCCGCGCACGGCCGTGCCGCTCGGCTCCGCAGCGCAGGGGAGCCCCGGCTGGCGGCGCGGGGAGGTTTCYATGCATCCTGGTGCATGCGGGGAGTCTAAGGCAGCGACAAGCGGCAGCACAGGCGATGGGGGGAGCGCAGCCCTGACGAAGAGGAGGAAGGGGGGGATGCCCGAAGGCGCAGCCAGGCTGGGGGAGGGGGCCGAGCCCTGCCCCCCTCTCTCTCCGGCACTTGGGCGAGCGAGGAAGCTGGGGCTCCCCCTCTCTCTCAAGTGAGCCCTGTGCAGCCTTCAAGGAGGCCGGGGGGGGGGAGAGGGAGGAGGAGGGGAAATGCTGCAATGTAGCACCAGGCAGGCGGGGAAGGAGCAAACCCGCCCGCCGGGGCCTCAACGCGAGCCCCCGCGCCGCGCTGCCAACCGCCGCCAAGGGCCCCGCAGCCTCCAACCGCCCTGCAAGAGGCTTCAACGGCCGCGGCGCGAGCTGCCGCCAACGGCCCCGCAGCCTCCAACCGCCACCAACGGCCCTGCAAGAGCCTTCAACGGCCGCGGCGCGAGCTGCCGCCAACGGCCCCGCAGAGCCTCCAACCACCGCACCGCGCTGCCAACCGCCGCCAACGGCTCCGCAGAGCCTCCAACCGCCACCAACAGTCCCGCAGAGCCTCCAACCATCGCGGCGTGAGCCGCCGCCAACGGCCGCGGGGAATCCCGCAGCCCGGCGGTACCTGCCGAGGCGGGGGCAGAAGGGAAGGCAAGGCGCAGCGGCGACACCCACCTTTCACCACCCTGTCCGTCGTCGATAACTTGGGATCAATGGCCTTGTGCTCCGACATGTCCGGCGGCCGGGGAGGCGGCAGGGCTCTCCCTCGCGCAGGGCAGGCACGGCGCTGAGGCGGCGGCGGCCGCTGCTGCAGTCCGGGGCTCCGGCTCCTCCGCTCTGGCCAAAGTTACCGTGTCCCGCTGCCGTTCGTTCTGCCGCGCTCAGCTTTCCTCCTTCTTCGTCTTCCTCCACCCCCGTCCTCCTCCAGTTAATTATTTCTTGCTTTCAATCACGCCACTAGATTGTTTCGAATCGCTCGCTTTCCCCTCCAGCAATAAAAAGGAAAAAATAACAACGACGTCAACAAACAGCTGTTAAAAAAGCGGCAGCGATTAAAAAAAAAAAAAAAAAAAAAAAAAGATAAAAGATAAAAAAATAAACGCCGGAGCAGTCAGCCACCACCGGGTTGCAAGCGCAGCAGCTCTGCGCTTCCTTCCTCCGCGGCGCAGCGCCGGCTGCTCCGGCTCCTCCTCGCGGCCGCCGCACTGGCCCAGGCTCCGTCCCGCCTCCCCGCCGCGGGCTCGGCTCGGCTCGGCTCTCCTCGCCTCTCCTCTCGCCTCCCCCCGCTCGCAGCGGCACCAGCCCCGGCCCCGCCGCGCTGCACACGCTCCGCTGCGCGGCGCAGCCCCCTCCTCGCGCCGCCGCCCGGGCCCGCCCTCGCCGCGCRCCGCCCCCTTCCCGACGCACCATTGGCTGTCGCCGAGCTGCCAATCACTGTCAGGTAGCGGTCTCCCCTCTCCCCCCCCCCAGGTGGGGGCTGCGCCCTGGGGCTCCCATGGCGCCGCGAAGACAGAGGAGGGGACCCAGGCCTCCCCCCCCACCAAAATAAAAAATAATCTGCGTAAATAACGTCCCCGGGCTACAGGGAGCCCCTTCCCTCCTCGCGGGAGGCGCTCAGTGTGCAAAGTGGGGTGCGGTGGGGAGCGCAGGGGGTCCCCCCGCCCGGGGCATGTTTGCACACCAGGAGCTCGCGAAGTTGCAGCCGTCCCGGCTTCGTGGCTGGTTTCCAGAACAGGGCCAAGCTGCTCCAGCTCAATTTAGCACCACGAGAGGTTTGTTGAAGGGGCATGGGGCACCTGTGTGTGTGGCCAGGGCTGCTGAGCAGCCCCAGTGCAAACAGCAGCAAATCACAGCACCTCACCCAGCTCCCCATGTCCCTGTGAAAGCACAACCATGATCTCTGCTTTGGGTTGTCTGACGTTTTGAAGGGGCCACTTTCACCCTGGCCACAAGGAGAGCTCAGATCTGCCATACTCTACAGCTGCATACCTTCAGTTTATTTGAAGGGCCCYGACAGAACTGCCCTGTGCCCTCCACAAGCGAGCATACGAACCCTAGCTCAACACTGAGATGCCTACGCACTGTGGTAATGCAAAGACATAGAATAAAGCTAGTGCTCAAGCAGAGTATCCAAAAAAACTCCACAGCCAACATCCAAGTATGTCCAAGACTCCTTGTATCCGGAATACTTAACTGAGGTGCCAAGTACCCTGAAGATAGAGGACAGAATCGTCCCTCGTCCGTGCTGCTGGGAGCGCTGTTCGGCGCACTGGCTGCTTGGACAGGGGAGGAGAAGCAACACGTAAGGAATGCAGCGCGGCCGGTCACTGCAGGTTATTGTGGGCGCCTTGTGGGCCACGGCTTCATGAGACGCGAGGACCGGTTCAGATCGGCTCTCAAGCAACCGGGGCTGCCCACGTGAGTCACGGGCACTGCTGGTGCTGGCAGGCTGCACTCACAGGGATCCTGGCCCTCTCCGGCTTGCGCTTGCTTCCCCATTAGGCACAGAGCAAGGAGGAATGATTCCTGTCGCTGCTATGGCGGGACATTCAGTGTCATAATTCCAGCATGTCTGTAGTAATTCTGATTCCCTTAGGAAAAGATCCCTTAGGATCTTTTTAATAACAATAAAAAAATCTTCCTCTGCATCTAAATTTTTAGTCATAATGCACTAACCAGATTAGATAGTTCTTTCATTTCATCTTATGGAGAGTCTTCATTATGTATCATGTCTTTCTTTCCAAAGTAAAATCTGCATTTCAGCTATCTTTTTTTTTTTCATTTAGAAAGTTTTGAAATATCTCTTTTTAAGACAAAAGTGAGTACAAATTCCAAGTATCACCCCACTTTTGCATGATATGCTATAGTCAACATTCACATCACAGGTAGAAGACCTCATGTCACGCGAAGATCCTCTGTCATGATGTGGTGCAATCCTAACCTTGAGATTRTTTTAGGAGCATTTGCAAATTCCTTGTCCTTGCTGTGTGGAGGGGAAAGGGAAGAGTATCTCAGACTTCCCCCTCCTCTTGTTTCTTACACAGATGATAAAATAGAAAATAATCTTTAGTTAATAGTAAAAGGTTGCACAGTAACTATTCCCTATTACTGAAATCTACCCTTCTCTCTCATCTGCACAGGTGGCCTGACAACTTTTTCTCACAACTTTTTCTCTTTTTTCTCTCCTTTTCCCATACAGCAATTTCTTTTGCCTGGGCTCTGAGTCCTGCTAGATTTCCTTCCACACATAACAGTAGCTGGAGAACACAAGGGCCAAATCTTGCAAAGGAAAGAGCAGTGTGTGGATTTCTGGGAAAATGGAACACATTTGACTTCCTGAATCTTAAGTCCTTAGTAGCATCATCTGTCATTTCATCTGCTGGTAGAACATGTTCCTAYCATGATAAACTTGAAGCTCTGATCTTCTGAAGAGCAGTCGCTTCTGACCATAGATAGAGGGGAACAGGTCTATATGAGCTGGAGGCTTATAGGAGATAGTGAGAGATTTGTTTCAAGTTCCCCACCTTTTTGCTTCAGACGAGTGATTTCTTTCCATTTTTAGCTAAAATATGACTTTTCTCTCTCTCTCTCTCTCTCTTTTTTTTTTCCCTAGCATTCAGCAACTCCAGAAAGCAACAGCACCCATCTGAAATGAATACTGGTGGATACTGGAGGAATAAATGCCCATACAATGAGAATACAGTCATTTTAAGTCAGATTTTCGTAAAGACATGTAGCCTAGCAGACTCCAAGTTTTACCATAGGTCCCAAAAAGAAAAGTAATCAAGTTGTTTGGACTTTATTTCAGTGGCAAGATGAGGAATATTCTCTAGAAATGTAATTATATGTTTGCACAATGACTCAACCAATTAAATATTGTTTAAAAGTATTGATTATATGAAATTGTATTTTGAATATTAATCATTATTTTTAGATGGAAAATTGCTGTAATTACAAGGAGGCTGTGCTGTGGGCTTTTAGCCTCTGGAAGTCCTGGCTCCATGCAAAATGAATATAAACTTGACAGTATCTTGGAAATAAAGGCGAGTTTGAGAGTGCTCTTGAGCATTATGATAGCTGCATGGGATATATGTGCAATGAGGTTAGTCTGGATATTGGTGCTGTCTTAGCTGATTATTTCTCTTTTTTTCTTTAAATAGAGTCTTGCAATTATTTCAGTTTACTTCCTTTCAAAACAAAAGTTAACAAGGCTTCTTAACATCTGTGTATCTAAGTTTACTGCATAGGCCCTAACGTCTACATAGCTGTCTACAAGATTAAGGCTGCCGTGTATTATACTATGTCAACAGTGCTTCCTCAGGAGACGCTCAGTAATARAACAGACAGTCTATTATAGGCCAAGATTGAAATTTGCAGTGCTGACCACAAGCACCTGAAACTTCCAAAAGATCTAAATTCACCTTCATCAGACAAAAATACTAAATCTGATAGCAGGCGAAGGCAAACAGAATTGTGAACAGCTCTTTGAATCATCAGAAGTGCTGTACATGAATCCTGGAAAGCCGAGCAGTTTATGAGCTCTGCASGTGTCATTTCGTTCCCCTGTATCCAGAGCCTGAGAGAGGAAATTTGCTCCAGTGCAGGCAGCGTATKCAAAGGACCATACCACACCCATCTAAATTGCCCTGGAAGGATCAAGGGGCATCCAATCATCTGGATTTCCCCGACAAACGGTTTCCCACACTTGTTCTACCTCAGTACACAAGAGGGAGCTAGATAGAGAGTCTGCAGCAAATAGTAGTTCCCTGGGTCATTTGAGCACTGTCTGCCTACACTTGCAAAGGGATAAAAAGCTCAAATGGGAAAGCATAGCCACATAATCCATCACCAACTGTGTTCTCCCACTTCCCCATGTGAGGTCTTCCTGCATCTGCTGCAGACACTTGACCTGCTGCATGGTCAGCCTCTTGGGAGTTTTGCATGTTTTTCCCTTGCACGCATCTGTTTGGCATTTGGCTCAGCTATTTATATAGGTTCTGGATTTGATCCTGAAGCTTTTAGCAGAATTTATATACACTGTTAATGATACTATGTTCGGTTTAGAAAACAAAGACAAATAGATAATTCTGCAGGGAGTCATGGAGAGAATGATACCAAAATGGCTTGTGTTCATATAGAATGAAAGCAATAGCATCAGGAATGCCAGGGAGGAAATGTAACTTTGAATTCCCAGATCTTGAATCAATATGGCAAACAGTAACAAATGGTGCCAGGCACAATAATACAGAGCTTGAATGACATTTAAAAGGAGTCAATGGATAGGTTACTCCTTCATAGTCGATATTTGAAAAGTACACAAGTGAAAGAAAAAAATCCTTGCACCTTAGGAAAAATTATACCCTTTGCCAAAAGACTGGCCTGCTTATGATAAGTTTCAGTACAAGTTAAGCRTAATTGTGGTCACCTAAATCTGTGCAGGAGTATCTGCATTTGGATTAAGATGCTGGCACAAAACTGATACATGACTCCTGTCTGTACTGCCAAAGAGCATGTAGACTCATGAGCAATCATGCAAAGGGCTTCCACATCCACCCTCTTTCCAATACCTCTGAGAAATCAGGTATTGCAGGTTGCCTATGCTGCAGTTTCAGAGCTCCTCAGAGACAAGTATTTTCACCGAACTACCTAGCCTAATAGGGCTACCTACCCTACTAGGCCTAAAGGTGAAGGGCAGCTTAGAATTAAAGTTTGGGGTCAAGTACTGAAGCCAACTGAAGAAGTCAAGCCATCAGCGCCGCAAAGAGTCATACTAAACCGAACAGCACAGCCAGGACACCACAGAGACGCAAGTTTGGAAACCAAAGAGCCCCTTTCATAAGGTGAGTCAGGGCTAGAACAAGGTGAGACGCAGGAACCTAACACAAAGGAGCCAGGATCCAGAGATCAAGACTAAGCAAACAAGAATGAAAAGCAGGAGAGAGAAGCAAAGCTACAGCCAAACACCAGAGCAGACTGCCAAGAGCAACTGGTGCTGTTGCCTGACACATCTGCTATTAGGGGAAGTTGGCCAAGACTTAACTCCTGCACAGCTGGGCC